TTACCACCCGGTTTGCACAAATAGTGTTTGGCATTTTGCCATGACAGAAGGGTAAAGAATAAGATTGGTGCAGCATTAAGGCTAAAAGGAAACAATTTCTTAATGGCTGATAGTGGTTAAGAGGCAGTGTCTTCCTCAGAAGTGGTGCATGTATTATTTGAGAAGACATAAATATAAAAACACTATCAGGTGAAGACATTTCAATTAGAATTACAGTTCTCAGGCCTTCTAATCTCCAATTCCATTTAATCCTGCTATTTGGAGCAATATTCTAAAAAATATATGGGAATATTCTTTATAACATGTAAGAAAAAGTTCAGCTTTGAAACAACTCACTAATCAATTTTACAACAGGAAAGAGAAGCTTGACTATTTATCTAAGTAGCTGGTGCCTCTTGCGTGTTTAAACAGGGATGCAAATTTTGTAGAGATAATGCTTGAGTCATTACTATTTGCTTTGGTCATCTTTTGCCCTGTTTCAGTCAGTGGGCACATTCTAACCTTTCTGTATTTGCCTGCACTTTTCTCCAAGTGGAAAAGGAATCTAAATCTTTTGAGCTGGAATTTTTCCTTCCTCAGCCTCAATATTTGTCTTTTATCTCAAATCAGTACAGTTATTCCTTCAATTATGTGAACAAAAACAGGGCAGAATTCACCATTTATATTCTCATTTGAATTTTATGTTCACCTAAACAGAACAGTATGAAAATTCAACACTTCTTTTATCAGGCACCCCTTTAGATCGAAACTTCAGCCATATCTGAAGACAATCCATGTCAGGTTGTGTGATAAAGGTCTTCTGCATACTCACAAAGGAGCATAGACAGACATTGGCAGGGGGGAGCCCAAATAACACCCTGGTCTGGCTTCTCCCAGGCCCATCACAGGAGCCATCAGCCCATCTCCACAAGCACAGGGGCACAAGGGCAGGTGGGAACCCATACCAAGGACTCAGAGGATGGGACACCCTCTCCCGGCTCTTGCAAGGGCTGTCCCAAGAGAGTCTCAGTCCCAGTGTCCAGGCATGAAGCCCATCACGATGAGTCAATTCTGGAGTATCTATCGGACTGCTGGGGTTTGCTGCTTAGGGGTGTGGAACACAATATGGAACAGAGGGGAAGAGTATGTCAGGATTGCACAGGACTTATTATGGGGTGTTTAAGGGAGGAACCAAAGGAGGGAAAGGGATGGATCTAGGTGATTTGGGGAGGAACAAGTGTGGGAAAATAGAGGGATCAGGGGATCAAGAGGGCTGGACACAGTTAACAGTTTGCTGCTTAATACGGTTGTCTGGCTGTGTCCTGCACCTGATCAGTGCAGTCTGTCCCATTTTCTTATTAATTTGCTTTCTAACTCTTTTCCTGGGTGAAGGACTCTCTGTTCTCTGTGTGTGTATGCATGTGTGGGTATGGGGTCTGAGTGCCAGCAACTAGACTGGGACTCAGTTGGGATCCTGCATGAGAGCAAATGGAGAGGCTGGAGGGAATGAAATTAAGTGTTAGTGACTGGAGTGGGACCAGGGGTCAGAGGCCCATGTCTCTAAGGGCAAGACCACATGAGCAGCTGACTGTTGGAGGGACCAGGGAAGTCCTGGCCAGCTGCCAGAGATACCATGGGGTATGGGTGCCTCTAGGGGTGAGACCTGCTGAGGTGCATGTGTGTCTCCAAGGGTGAGACAGCTCTGTGTGTGCGTGTGTGTGAGTGTGAGATGGTCTGTACCAGCAGCTGGAGCAGGGCTGCAGCCTCAGGGGCTCATATGCCCAGGTGCCAGCAACCTGGGAGACTGGGATCCAGGGGCAGCTGCTGAGCAGACAGAGTATGTGAGCCCAGCTGCTGGAAACATCCACTTTGTACATATGCATACACATATATATTCCTACTAGTGGACCTCCATCCTGCTCAGCCAGAGAGGGGAATGGGATGAGGCTGCGTGTGCTGTCTGTGTTTGTGCAACTGCTCTGTGTGTCTGGGTTATCTGTGCAGCTGACCGTATATATATATATGTGGTATATACATGTGCTCTCTCTGTGTGTGCTGACCAGGAACACATGCTCAGCCTTGCCGCTGGTGGGACCTGGGGCCATGCAGCTGCAGCAGCCTCACCTACATTGAGCTGCCAGATCTGGTCTGATTCCCCTAACACTCCTGTTTTGTCATGATGTTATAAAGCTAAGTCAAAAGCATTCAGAACAAAGCTTCTATCTTATTTTCATTGAGTGACACTGAAGATTTACCCAGTTCAGGACATGATCACTAATTTCCAATACCTATTACTTAGAAAATAGTTGAACAATTTTTCTTTGATTTTGTGCATCACAACATAACTAGGGGATGAAACCAAATCAAAACAGCAACAAATAAACAATCCAATACTTGTAAAGTTTGGTAAACTAAAAATATCTGGAACTGCCAGAAAAAAGTGAGACTGGGTAGAAGAATCACAGAAAAAAACAGGTTGGAGCAGACCTCCAGGGACCATCCGGTTCAACAGCATGCTCAATGCAGGGACAACTTCAAAGGCAGATCAGGTGAAGTTTTTTCAATCTCCAGGGCTGGAAAAGCAAAGGAGAAGATGGAATAGGAAGAGAAAAAGCAGCCACAGACCTAGAAGCCTTGGCGGTGGGGAAAAAGTAAGAAAAGAAGGGAAGATAAAGGCAGACATACATTGGAGGCATAAGAAAACTTAGTTACATATGGAAGTTGAGACTGGTGTGATGGAGAGATTGAGAAAGAACTGAAAGCATCACTTGGCATAGGAGACCAGATTAGTGTCAGCTTTTTGAAGTGGCTGAGGTACAGTCAGAAAAACTAAGGGGGGTTACAAAAGTGAGAAATTTGGATGGAAAAGAAGGAATTTCAGAAAGGAAGGTAAAGAAAAACTGACAGAATTGGGAAATAACTTAGGATTTGAAGAGAAGCTAGAAAAAAGAAAGACAAGGAATCAAAAATCAGCTCCAAGGTTTTGGGTCCCTATTGGGTGCATAGTAGAGTTTGGCTGGAGAAAGGGATAAAAAGGGTAAGGAAAAAATTACCCTTTCTTCTAAGAGAAAAGTTGAGTAATAAAGTGTTAAAGAACAGCCGTTAAAAAAACCAGTGCCTTCTGAGCTTAGTTTATATTAGTTCATTTTGTTTAAAGTTTCCAGCACATCACTTTTATAGTTAAGCAAATTTAAAACCACTAGAAGATACCAGATTGAGTTGAAAGTACAGGATACAAATTACTAAATCATACCAGATTATCATTAAGTAATAAGTAGTACATCGTTTGTTCTGCTGGAGAAAGTGACTTGATGTGGTTTGTCCAGTACTTGTAAGCAATTAGCTTTTAAATGGGAAATGCAAATGGATAGTGTTTCATTTGTTTGTTCTTGAGAAACTAAATAGGAAATCCTTGGGAGGCCTTGCTGAGTTTATATTGATGTTCAATTTAAATGTGCCTAAAATCAATAATTAATTTGTAAAACTTACAATTTCAGGAAATTTCCTAATGCTTTCTAATGTGTCTTTTCTTACAAACTTGAGACATATATTTTAGTAAAGATAATGTTCCTGCAAAAGCAAGGAAAGATGCAGTAATATAATGATTAAAAAGTGAATAAATGTGCTGTTTTAAACATATGCCCAGCCTTTGATAGAACTGACTTGATTTTTCACATACCAGTACATAAATGGAGTGCACCTACCAGAATATTAGTACTTTTCTATGAATGGGTATTTCAGACTGCATAAGGCAGATTTGAGTTATTTATGTTGAATTAATTGTTCATACAACCTAATTGGCTTCTGCATTATTTTTCTATTGGACCAGTATACAATATTTACGTCACTGTAAGAAGTGGCATATGGTACTGTGGTATATGTTAATGATCATAGGGCCTGGTTCATCCTGATCAGTCCCAGTTTTTGAAATCTCTTATTGAAGTCACTAAATACTCTGCAGAATCATTAAAAAAAAAATAAAAAAGCAGAGGGGAAATGTGAGCTAGCACATACATGTTTCTCAGCTTCTTCTGGCCTCTGTAATAAAGATCAGTAGTCCCCTTTGGCCTTAAAACCCATCAAAAACATTCACACATCACCAGTCTTGATGGTTTTTTCAGAGAATTATATTCTTTTGAGTTGAGGTTTTTCACTTGTTTGATATTTTCTTCTGAAATGATTTGATTCTCACTAAGTGCATGATGACCCTTTTTTATGTTGAATCACTGATTCCTTGCAATATTCACTCCTTTGTTTTGAATACAGTTTGCCTGAATGATAACACCTATCTACATAAGACCTACCACTGTCAGACAGTATTGTCTATCAGCTGCATCACTGTCGTTCTGTTAATATAAAGAGAATTCTATAAAAAAAACCTATTGTGCTAAATGATTATACTGGCTCCCTATTCCTTCATAGAGGCCCAGGACTTTTTAAATAATAACTCTATATGATGGGCTATTTCCCGCTTCACTTGAAGAGAACAAAGTGTGTCAATGCTGCGGTAAATTTTGAAGTACCAAAGTTCCACCCTGCAGCTAACAATTTCTATGTGAATGGCTATGACTTGAGTCTGATTTGGAAAACACGTGTGTGATGACTCAGATCACGGATTTCTGGTAAAGAATATTTTATGCAGCCCAAGAAAGGATGATATCAAACTTGCTAAAAGGAACTGGAGGTCACATGACATTACATACCTTGATATGCCTTGATTTCCTGTCTGGTGTCTTGCTCTAAAGAGCAGTATTTGCCGGTGATTTAAGGGCACTCTGAGAGATCAAGAATTTTATAGGGGTAACATGCCCTGGCCACAGTTATTATTCTGATTTTGGGGAGGAAAGGAGTGGAGTAAAATGATCACTTCCCACTTCCGTGGAACTAGAAAGTATCTGGAAGGGATTGTTTCATGGTTATGCTGGCTTTTGGGCAGTCTGCCCTGGAAGAAACATGAAAAACTGTCATATACTCACAGGATATGGCTAGTGAACACATGATCTAAAATACCGAGCACATACATGGCAAAAGCTCCTTTGTGGGGTTTCTTATTGCCACTTCTCTCCACGTATCACCTTCACCCTTGTCTTCTGCAAGCCAGCACTCTATGGGGAGACAAATCTCTTCATCAGAAAGAGGGACTACTCTTTCAAGTCTGACTTCCTCCAGGTACCAACTGGGATCATTTCCAGTGTTGTCGTGGCCAATGCGGATTTTATATAGCTGCCCAAGATCTCTGAGATTAATCTGTAATGACAAAAAAAAAATTCCAGGATTTTAATAGCAAATTATAATGTTGTCTTCTTATACTGGGCATGCAAGCAAAATGTGCAGCTAATGTAACCTAAGGATGGGTTTTTTTAGAAAATAAAACCTTAATATACAATGAATCCCAGAGCAATCGAGCAAAAGCATATGGAGTAGTCTGCAAGCATAATTTTATTGACTTCAGTACCGTATTATTTAAAGTGACTAAAGGGCTCAAAAAATTCAGTCTGTTTTTAGATCTCTTGACAGAATCTGGTTTGTAGTGTTATAATGTAAACCTCTGTTTCTAGACAAATACTGTAACAAGCAGAAGTATCTTCAGTCATTACTGCCTGAAATAATATATTTTGCAGTCCATGCAGTTACCATCAGCAGAGCCCTATTAACTATTCCTACGACTTATCAGTCTTCTATGGTCCACTTCTCTCTTCATCTTCTATTTTTATGTCCATTGGTGTCAGGGTTAACTGTTTCTGTAAGTGCTGACGCCACACTGCAGCAAATTTAAACAATAAAACATGACTATGTCACATTGAATACTGCAGCCCTGAAATAAAAGCCACTTTAGTTTGGGCTGCAGAAGTTTTTTGAGCAATGCTGATTGCAGGAACCTAAGCACAAAAACAGGGTTAAACACTTTCATTTTCAGTGATGTGTTTGAAAGCTCATGGTATTGGGAAAAAAAATCACAGAGAAAAAAGAACAAAAAATAGTTGTTTCTTTTACCATTGTACCAATTTTGTATTGTTTAGCATCAAAACAAAAAGGAAACAAACAAAAAACGGATTGACAAACAATTAACACCAAAATTGCCCCAGTAGTCCTAATCACCAAAAAGGATGAACTAAGATTTGTGTTTGAAGGTCCATTGCATCTGTTCTGGAAGGTAATATTACTAAGTCTACCCCAGCGTGAGAGTTTCCCCGTCAATGTTTTTTGCTAAGGAAGACTACAAGGTAATGCTCCTTTTCTCTGTGGAGCTGGGAAATGTTACATTAGAGACATATCCCTTTCATTCTTTTGTTAAAATGTTTTCCTAGGCAATGACACAGGCTAGTGTAACACTGACATTTCTTGGTCATATGGCCCATCACAGAAGAAAGTCTGCAGCCCTAATTGATCACTATTTCCTTGCATCCCTGAAAAAAGGATGTTGTGCAAGTCTGGCACAACTCAGTCTCATAGGATGATATCATGACACATACGCTAATGGTATAAAGTCTGAATAGAGTCACACTTATGGCCAAAGTAGTAGGTTTTCCTATATGAACACAGTATGTTAAAGTAAGAGGTGCTAACTGAAGGTATAATTAAAACATTAATGCAATAAAACCATGTATATCAAAAACATGCTGCTAATACAGCAGAATTACAGCAGTAGATAAAAAGCTCTCTGAAACGAACCACAAATGTAGCCAGGACACAGGCTAAGTTGCCATAATAACCCTGTCACCCAACTACAAAGCAGAGACCTCTGCAGTGGGCAAGTGACTGCTAAGGTTGCCTTGCAAATAAATATAACAATATATTAGAATTCTCACCCTTTATTCTCACCCTGAATAAAGTACAGTATTGGTGAACAGCAAAGGTGATGCTTTCCTGAGATCTAGGCACTGGCTGCTATTTGTGGTGCAGAAGTGTTAAAGGGCAATTTAGTAAATAAAACATTGGAACTTTGTGACCTCATGCCCATGATTAAATTCTGGCATAACCCCTCTTGAAAGAGGAGCGTCACAGCCACCTTTGCATATAGTATTCATTACCATGACTCTCAGGAAAGACCAGGAAACTCTGTCAAAGAGCCTCTTTCGTCTTCTGAAGCATCTAATCAGTCATTTGGCTGTGAAGCAAACTGAAACATTATTGATTAAAAAAATCCTGCATATCTATAGTGGGTATCATATGAGTTGGCTGAAAAGTGAAGCCATTTCAGCGAAGCCACCGAGGCGAAGGGCTCCGAAGCGGAGGATCGCGCCGCGGGACCCTTCCTGAGGCGGCAAAACCGCGGCAAAACCCGCAAGAAGCAAAGGCGCAGGGAGTGAGAGGGTGCCCCAGCCCCCCACCAAGAGCCGGAGGAGGGAGCCCCTGACGAGAGGCAGCTCTGACTCAGCGTGGGCGGGGACAAGAGGGGCGGCGGCCGAACCTCCCCACGTAGAAGAGCAGCCCCCAGGGAGCGCGAGCGACCCGGAGCGCGGCGAACAGGGCGTGGCGCCTCTCTGGGCAACCTGGGCCAGTGCTTCACCACCCTCAGCATAAAAAATTTCTTCCTTCTATCTAGTCTAAATCTACCCTCTTTTAGTTTAAAGCCATTCCCCCTTGTTCTGTCACAACAGGCCCTGCTAAAAAGTCTGTCCTCATCTTTCTTATAAGCCCCCTTTAAGTACTGCTAGGCTGCAATAAGGTCTCCCTGAAGCCTTCTCTTCTCTAGGCTGAACAACCCCAACTGTCTCAGCCTTTCTTCATAGGAGAGGTGTTCCATCCCCCTGATCATTTTTGTGACCCTCCTCTGGACCTGCTCCAACAGGTCCGTGTCTTTCTTGTGCTGAGGGCTCCAGAGCTGGATGCAGTACTCCAGGTGGGGTCTCACCAGAGCAGAGTAGAGGGGCAGAATCACCTCCCTTAACCTGCTGGCCACATTGTAGCTGATGTTTGGCAGACCACTGGTACAACTGGAGAGAAGAGCTCACAAAAATAAGCAGAGGTAGGATAGCGACCAAGAGGAAAAAAAAAAGCAATTTCAAAAAGAAGGAGAGGGAAATGATGAAACCCATTCATCACAGTATCACCATGCAGGGACTTTCTGTTACTGGATAAGCAACACAGCAATTCATCAAACGTAATCAAATGGAGTTTCAAGAAAATTCAGTACAGAACAGAAAGCTCTGTCCAGCCTGTTAAGTTTCTCCAGGAGATGTTCCTAGTTGCAAGCAGTTCAATTAGATTCACTAAAGTCCTGTTTAACATCTCTAAACATTCCTGTGTTTGTGTCTTTCTATACTTCCTGTCCCTCCCTAACATTCACACTCTAAAAGATGACACAATATAACAAAATTAAGGAAGTTATGCCCATGTGCTAAGTGGGAATTTGTCCAAAGTGTCGAGCCAAATGTATTTGCTTGTTTTCAATTACAGGGAGGAAGAGTATAAAGCATCCCTGTCTACTTGACACAAATTATGAGTTTTTTGGAATGGTAAACTATGCAGGACATATAGGTAATGGCATATTTCTGAGACTGAAAGGTCTCAAAAATAATTAAAAACACAGAACACTGCTAGACTAATAACATGCTTAATAATACTTCTGTTTCTGACTCATTGTTTATGGGTCTGGGGTCTTGGGGAAAAAAAATCACGTTTATTCTTGGGTGGAAATTAAGGCAAATTAACTGTATATGATGTTCTGGAAGACATATAATACAATTACAAATTTAGTTTCAGCTCTTGTTGTAGTTTGGGGGTTGGAACAATTCATCTTGCTTTCAGATCAGATATCACATTGGTCTCTCAGTGGTATTGACTTCCTAACATGTCACTTCTTACCAATCGGAATCCTCTCAAATGTATGTCAAATTTTGCTCTTGCAGTGAAATGCAGACGAAAATACTCTCATAACATGGTAGAGCTAACTATATTGTTTTGCCGACATAAACATTGTTTCTCGAGGTTGCTCCTTCATTTCCAGTATTGACTAAATTGCCTTAAACTTCTGCATGACTTGAACACAACCTGGCATTTATAAATCTACTTTTGCAGCCAGAACATTCTATAAAAAGTTGTAGAGCAAAGTTGACTTTGTTGCCCTCGTAAACAACATGTTTACAAACACCTTAGTCTAGCTGTTCTGTATTCTGGCTGCAAAAGTAACATTCCATTTTACATGCAAACAGCCTTTCTGACAGAACTGCAATAAATGGCCATGCAAAGAAGAAAGGATAGGTCCCAGGACTAAAGCATCACTCTGGAAATCAGAAAACTAGATTCTATTCCTCTATCTGCTTTAGGTTTCCTGAGGAACTTTACATAATTCACAAGCCCTCTTTGCTTCACTTTCTCAACTATACAACAAGGACAACACTTACATGTCTCTCACAGGGACATTGCAAAGCTCTCTTCATAAATTTTGAGATCCTCAGAAGAAGACACAAGTCCAAAATTCTGTATTTTTTCTAAAATTTTCTGTTCATTTTGGATTAGTTGCTATTTTTCCATAACTCAATTGACAGATCAAAAATCATCAGTTGTAATTCTCCTAGCTAACTTTGTAAAGCTAGTGGTTTTGCTCAAGGATAATGTGATCTCCCTTATAGTTACCTAGTCTCTCATATAGTCATGCAATTTCTGTTGCCACTAGCAGAAGTTGTGCAGACAGAATAAGGGAGGAATAGCAACAAGCTGCTCAGCAAATACATTGTAAATCTACTGAAGAACATGGTCAATATAATAAGGACATTCCTCCACTACACTGTAATTGGATGTTGCAGGTACTCAAACTTCCTAAACAGCAAGGACACACAGAGATAGAAGACTGATGTATTTTGGGACAGGTCTACACTGCCCTGAACAAGCTTGCTAGAGTCCTAGCAACCGTACACCTGAGTTAGCACAATAGTCCCTCAGGCTGGCCAGTCCTGCTTCTCAAGGCCCACTGCTGCTGATGAACACTGAACAGCAGTGTTGCAGCAAAAGTAGCAGCTTGAGGCTAATCTTTGCTGGCCTGTGCAACAGACGTTGACAAAATCATCAGACATCTAATCCTCAACCAAAGAACATGGTCAAAGTGTTGCGGAGGTTCAAATGTCTGTTTATTAAAAATACTAAAAATTGGTTTGCAAAGTTCCTTTCTCCCTGTAAATTCTTTAGCTTGATATGGTAGAGTTTGGATATGGATGGAAATTCAAAGTCGTAAAATTTAAGAGAAGAGTTTGGGGGTATGAAGCTGCCATTCTGGTGTGGCTTACATCAGCCATGTATAGAACATA